CTTTTGTATGATTCACAAACCTTCTTGCCTCACAAGTGACTGTCACCCTGATGAATTTAACAGACACCCAGAGGCCAGAGCCTCTGAAGGCTCCCACCTTTTCCCAGTTTCCTTGTGTTGTTTCATGGTGTGTCTTGTGTTTCCAGTGCACTCACAAAGCCTTTTCTCCACACAGGCTATGGGCACACGGTGCCCTTGTCAGATGGGGGCAAGGCTTTCTGCATCATCTACTCTGTCATCGGCATCCCGTTCACCCTCCTCTTCCTGACGGCTGTGGTCCAGCGTGTCACCGTGCATGTCACCCGCAGACCCGTCCTCTACTTCCACATCCGCTGGGGCTTCTCCAAGCAGGTGGTGGCCATCGTCCATGCTGTTCTGCTGGGGTTCGTCACCGTGTCCTGCTTCTTCTTCATCCCAGCCGCTGTGTTCTCCGTGCTGGAGGATGACTGGAACTTCCTCGAGTCCTTTTACTTCTGCTTCATCTCGCTGAGCACCATCGGCCTGGGGGATTATGTGCCAGGGGAAGGCTACAACCAGAAGTTCCGAGAGCTGTACAAGATTGGGATCACATGTGAGTACCCGTGGCGGGCTGCACCCTGTGTGCCTGCTCTGTCCCCATGTTCTTTGTCTAGGGACTGACAGTCCTGTGACAGTGCCTGCCTGCTTTCTCTTGAATCTATTTTCTTCATTCCCCTGACTTCCTAGAGCTATTTCGCTTCACCCATTCTAATATCCCAACTCTTACTGCTTAGTGGTGTGCCCAATGCACCTGGAAGTCACCGCTAAGTTTCTTGTATGTGTGTGTTTTTATGTGGGGTGTGCAAGTGTCCTTGTTTGTGCTTGTGAAGTCAGAGAACAACCTCCCCAGTCCTTCCTCCGGTGCCTTTTTGTTTGAGACAGGGCCGTTCTTTGACTTGGTATTTCATCAGCAGCCTAGGCTGGCTGACTAGGGAGCTCTAGGGACCCACCTGTCTCCGCCTCCCATCTCGACATCTCTGGGATTACAAATACAAGCCATGGCACCAGCATTTCCCAAGGGCTTGGAAGATCCAGCTCACACTTGTGATGCTCTTGACTGCCAGGGCCATCTCCCAAGCCCTGATGGATTTCTCAGATAGTGTGACAGGCATATTAGCTGTCTATTACTTCAGTAACTTACATTACACCGGTAACTATTTTACACTCAAGAAAATAAGACCTCTGCTTGTCACCAACATTGTGGTCTTTAATTTTCCAGGAAATTTCTCTAAGTAGTCACTGGCCTCATTTATCTGCGTCATCCGTCTTGAAGTTACCTGGCACCAATTATTCTCAGAATTTATGTGTAGAAAATGAGGCAGGCAAATTTTAGAGGCCTCAGTTGGCAAAGTGCTGGTTGCTCAAGCGTGAGCACCTGAGTTCAGATCCTTAGTGTCCACGTGGAAAGCCAGGTGTGGTGGAATGGTGGCGGGGACAGACACAGAAGGATCCCAGGGTCGCTGACAGGTCTGTCTAGCCAAAACGGCAAGCTTTGTGTTCAGCAAGAGACTCTGTCCCAAAAATAAACCGGAGGGCCATTGAAGACAGAGACTGTTGACCTCTGGCGTCTACAGTGAAGACAGAGACTGCCAATCTGTGGCATCTTCATGCACATTCACCAGCAAGCACACCCACATACACGCAGGCACACAGCACACAGTCTGGAAAAATGCAGCCATTCATCTGGAAGAAGCGAATTTCCTGTGAGCCCTCTCTGTGTGTTCAGGATGAGTAGCAAGCAGCCCTAGCATAGTTTCCTCTGCTGCCTTCCCTGGGCTCTTTTCACATGTGACCCTGCCCAGCTACAACTTCTAGGAAGCAGTCGGTGTCCTCGCCCTGTCTTGCTGTCTTAATTCCAGAAAGCGGTTGGTTGAACTATATTTGAACACTTCGGTGAAACCGTCAGCTCACCAGAAACAAAACCTGCAGTCATAAACCCAGTGCTTCCTGGCTCTTGGCTCCAGTCTAAGCACAGTAAACATTTGCCAGAGTGTTTTGCAGGAGGGTTTCCTACTCTTTATTATTTTAGAGTCTGGGTGTAGCTCCAGGACCACCCCACAGCCGGCCTACCTCACTTGTAGAGCTAGACTGGCTTGTCTCTAATTTGGTAGCATGGCAAATCTCCTCAGTGTGGAGTTCTTTTTGTGTTTGTATTTTGTATTTGAGATCTTTCTAAGAAGTGGGATTGCTGGCCCCAAATGAACACGCTTCTTTCGTGAGTCACAGAACATAATTCTGAGGCCCCCCAAAGGGAACACAAGTGCACACAATCACTGGTGTCCAAGTTTCCATCCTCTTTGGGTGGCATTGGCCAAAACAGTTCTAGGCATTTTGTGCGTGCATTTGATGGCAGTGTAGATAGAAGCCATCTTAAGTTTCTTTCCAGCTAGCAGGCAAGTCTTTAGTTTTCACTTGGCTTTCTAATTTCTTTGAGAAGTAGAATGTCCCCGAAATTGTGTTTTCTGGTTCATCTTTTCTCTTGTGTTAATTGCTCTTTTCTATCTCCTGATCTGTGAGCTAGCTTAGCTTTCCAAAAAACACTGAATCCAGAGGGCATGGCTGCACACCTGCAGCAGAGGCGGAGACAGAAGGGTCGCTGAGGCTTGCTGGCCGCCAGCCTAACTCCAGGGTCAGTGAGAGACTTTGTCTCAAGGAATGAAGCAGAGAGTGAGCGAGTGGGACCTCCAGTGTCCCGGCCTCTGCACTCACATGCATGGGTGCCCCCTCCTGCCTGTGTGAAGCTCACACATATGATGGAAGCCCGTGGTTGTGTCTAATCCAAGTTCACCGGTGGCTAAGTCATTTCATTCTTCTTTAAGTTCCTCCATGAGCCCTGGACTTCAAACATGCTTCGGAATAAACTGTACAGCTTGGAGAACGCTGTGTGTGTGGCGTGGGAGGAGAATAGTCATGCAGTCCTGATTTTGTGGTACTTGGTCGAACTGAGCTGCTGCCGTGTTTTCTGCCTTGCAGGCTACCTTCTCCTTGGGCTCATCGCCATGCTGGTCGTCCTGGAAACCTTCTGTGAGCTCCACGAGCTGAAGAAATTCAGGAAAATGTTCTATGTGAAGAAAGACAAGGATGAGGATCAGGTTCACATCATGGAGCATGACCAGCTGTCCTTTTCCTCCATCACTGAGCAGGCGGCCGGCCTGAAGGAGGATCAGAAGCAAAACGAGCCTTTTGTGGCCTCCCAGTCACCCCTCCATGAGGATGGCTCTGTGAACCACTGAGCCTGGGCCATCAGATCCCGGATGTGAGGCAGAGCCTTGACTGTCCATTTTTACAAGGAAATCAAAACAAGATGACGTCATTTTAAGAAATATCAATATTTTAAAAACATGGGACTTTGGGCTCTGGAGGTGGGTGTCTAATCCCTGCCCAGATGAAATGTGTGCCTGTAATTCATAGGAGACACATCACCTGGACATCACATACTGGGATGGATACTTGAAGCAGTGTGCTGCAGGGGATGGGAGCAGATTTTATATATAACCAGGGACTCTGGGTTTGCATTCCAATCATTTTTGCTGACAGCTATAATAGCAACATTTATATTTAAAAAAAATAGAGATGTATTTTATAAATAGGCTTAAGTGTCCTGGCTTGCATGTACCTATCCAAAATAATTATTTTTGTAGGATCTAAATTAACACTATTTATAATAAATAGGTTACCATCCACTCTGTACATAGAACATATAAATATGTTTATACCCTGTACATATGTGTAGGCTACCAGATCTCCCTGTACTCCTTAAGCAAAGATAAGGAATAGTTTTTCTTTTTGATTTCTCTTTATACTAAAGAACTCAGAATTGCCACAACAAGCTAGAAGGCATAAGAAACCCAAGAGAAAATCAGTATGATATTATATTACCGTATTTGTTTCTGCCTTCTTACGATGGTGTGGGACCAGATGGCCAGTGATGAAGAGGACTTATGGGAAGGTAAAGATATTTGGTCTGGAAGAGTTACTGCTGTTTCTACACACCTCACAGTAAAGCACAGGACACAGTGTCAATGCCCCCAATGAACAGATTACGTCAGGCTAATCTGAGAAGTCTACATGTAGAAGCTGAAGTCAATAAAATCATGGCAGGTTGCAATCTCGTTTTACTCTGTCTGATGTTTTCCTCCATATCTACAGTCTATATGGGCACTGCTTTAGAGATAATGATAGTAGCCATCTGGGATGTGCCTGGTGTATCTGGGATATCAGGAAGGCCCTGTGTGATGTCAGATGTTCACGCTCTTGTTGTCATGGCTCATACCCAGAGGTGATTCCCCTCACCTGGTGATGACCTGGTCATATCCGTGACTGCAGGGTGTGGTCCTCACATTAGGTAGCTCGCTCCCACCACCTAAGCCGCTTGTTGCCCACTCCTGCCTTATCCTCCCAACATGGATCTGAACCAGGCTTGGGCCATTTTATTCCAGAATCACTATCACAGCACAGCCCTGGAATTAGCAACTTTACAGGCAAATACACACAATCTCAGGTGTGAAAAGTTTGAAGTCATTTTATGTCATTTGCTCAGTGTTGGGATTTGAATGTTTTTAACACGCAGTCCTCCACTTGTGGTACTTTTTGGTACCCCATGAGGAATGGATCCTCTGAAGCCTTGAGTCAAACCCTTCCTTAAGTTGTGTTTGACAGCTAATTGGGTCACAATAATGACAAGAGCAATAGAGACGCTAAGCTGGGGGCTGGTCCTCCCAGTCTCTTTGTTCATGGCTCTGTGTCCCCTGCTTGGGTCATGAAGAGAAGTTTGAGAAGGCAGAGGCTAAGAAGCATCACTGTTAGGAGGTCCCACTCGTGTCTCCTGTAGGTGTCAGGACTCAGAATCACAGGAGAGGGAGCTACAGCAAGGGAGAACCATGTGACCGTCATCTGCCCACCGGTGCTCAGGAAACAGGTCCACAGCGTCGGCAGCTGCTATGAACTCCAGGCTCAGGCATCCCTGGGAGAGGAAACAATGTCGACAGCTGTGGAAGAAGTGGGTGAAGCGGGCTCTCGAGGGAACACCTATGAATGGAAATAACACACATGCCAGTTAGCAGTGCAAGGCCATGGTGCTGGTGACACTGAGTCAGCAAAGTGAGCACGGACTCAGCCGAAGGTTGGAAGCAAGGTTTTGTGGGGAAGCTGGTCCTAGAAGATTAAGCATAAGGACTTTTTTGGAGACCAGGTGTTGTTGGTTGTTTTCACTCTTTGCTCTTTGAGGGTTCCACATCCAACCCCCAAATAGATCACATGGAGGCTTATTCGTTCTTATGAATGCCCAGTCTTAGCTTGACTTGTTTCTGCCAGCTTTTCTTAAATTATCCCATCTACCTGTTTTTCTGCCCTTTTACTTTTCTCTATTTCTGTGTATCTTTTCTTTCCTCCTTACTCTGTGTCTGGCTGTGTGGCTGGGTGTGACCCCTTCTTTTCTTGCTACTTGATCTTTTCTTCCCAGATGTCACCTCTTATTTATTCTCTCTGCCTGCCAGCCTTACCTATCCTTCTCCTGTCTTGCTATTGACCGTTCAGCTCTTTATTAGACCAATCAGGTGTTGTAGACAGACAAAGTAATACATCTTCGCAGAGTTAAACAAATGCAGCACACCCTTAGCATCATTAGACAAACGTTTCACAGCATAAACAAATGTAACACATCTTAAAATAATATTCCACAACAACTGTATAAAGACCGAGTTTCTGAGCCAACAGAGACACCTGACTCTGCCATCCATGCCACGTTCTGAGTGTGGGGTTCAGGTAAGCTACTCTCTACCATGTCCTCAGTGTCTAAGATGCCTCATGGATGAAAGGATTATTTAAAACAATGCCTGACACATTATATACCTGACCTGTCCCAGGAGGGGGACACTAGGATGGTTTCTTGAGGGTGTGGAGTTTATTAGAAGAGTTATTAAAGACATGGACAGACAGACAGCAGTAATATGGGGGTTTGAAGAAAGTTCAGGCCCCAATCATAGACAGACAGCATGGCTGGGCCTCTGAAGAGAGGAAGCCAAGGCTCTTGGGGCAGATGTGGGGTATCTTCTACTTTCACAGCACAAGCCAGGCAGAAGTTCAGGAAGTTGTCAGGAACCAGGATGTATGGTCACTATAGCTCCTTAGATTCAATTTCCTCTGCAAGTGAGAAACCCTGGAACCTGAAGTCTGTTACTAGGAACTCAGCAACAATGTCCCAGTTTGCATCTGGATGTCTGTGAGAAGGGAAGGTCTACTGCAAGGTACTGTGGGCTGAACAGCTGCTGGATTTGCACGTCACAGTCCCCTAAACTGGACACCCCATGTCACTGTTGTGTTCTCAGGTGGTTAGTCTTGGTTGCAGAAGGCTAATTTGGTAGAATGTTGGCTATTTGTAGGCCCAACTGCAACTATAGAGAATTTCTCATAACAATCTATAGGACACTTTTTGCTTTTATCCTACACCATTTAACTGGCTAAGGTTCTTTGTCAAATGTATTTATTTCTGGGCCAGGAGATAGCTCAGTTATTAAAGTATTTATCCCACAACCTTGAGGACCTGAGTTCAAGCCCCAGGGTCTATCTTAAAGAAAGGCATGACTGCACATTTGTAACTCCAGTGCTAGGGGAGCTTAGACAGCTGGGGCTGGGACTTGCGGCCAGTAGCCTAGCCTGCCTAGCCTGGTTGCAAAGTCCTGGCAATGAGAGACTCTTTCAAAGTAACAAGATAGTTGGTGCTATGGAATGACACCTGAAGTTGTCCTCTGACCTCCAGAGGCACAGGAACATGCACACGCACACACACACACACACACACACACACACACACACACACACACCAGCACAAGCATGCCACACTCAAACACACACTCTCCTATGAGTACACAGGGATGTATCCATTTCCAGAATTATCTGTCTACCTCAGGTACCCTTGAGATCAGATCCCACACTGATGTATTGCTGTGAACACAGATATCAGTAGTTATCCTTGTGACCTATGGGAGGACCCAGGCTCCGCTTTTGTAGGAGGAAACCTGATCAGAGTGAAGATCTTTATAGAATCAGCTACCATGAGAGAGATTTCTTCTCCCTATAAAAATTGACAATGGTGTTTTCTTGTGTCTTGTCACTATATTAAGGCTACAGCTTAGGACCTCATCTGTCCAGGTAATAACAAACCAGAGATAAAATAGGAATTGATTTTCCCTGGCTCTTGCTGCACAATAATTGTGATGTTGGCAACAGCTCTGCTGGGGCTTTTGGAAGGCATGGGGGTGGATGGACATGTGTATGTGTGTGTGTGTGTCTGTGAGTGTGTAAGCATGTATGTGTGTATATGTGTGAGTATATGAACATGGGATATATGTGTAGATGTGTATATTGGTACGTGTGTGTGGTGTATGTATATTTGTGGTGTGTGTGGTTTGTGTATGTGTATGGCCTCTGTGTATGTGTGGTGTGGGATGTGTGTAAGAGTTTGTATGCATATATTGTGTGTGTCTGTGGCATATGCATGAGGTACAATGTATCTTTGGAGCATGAGGTACAATGTATCTTTGGAGCAGGAGGCACAATGTATCTTTGGAGCATGAGGTACAATGTATCTTTGGAGCATGAGGTACAATGTATCTTTGGAGCAGGAGGCACAATGTATCTTTGGAGCATGAGGTACAATGTATCTTTTGAGCATGTGATACAATGTATCTATGTATCTTTGGAGCATGGGATACAATGCATCTTTGGAGCATGTGATACAATGTATCTTTGGAGCATGATATACAATGTATCTTCAGCTAGGTTGCAGAGAGAGGTGAATCCTGGCCTTCAATTCACTTTCTCCTTTTTATTCAGCTCAGGACCCCAGCCCACAGCATAAAATCACCCACTGTGAGGGAGGGTTTTCCTGCCTCGATAAATATAATCTAGAACCTTCTCATAAGCTCCGAAGCCTGTCTGTTAGGTGAGACTAGACTGTGTCTGGGTGATAGCCCGTATGAACCACCACAGTCTCTTATAGTTGCACATGACCTGGGGACCCAGGGCATCAGACCCAAGTGCTACAAGCAGTGGACTACTCTCATCCAGACACTGCTTGTTTCCTTCCTAAATCAACATGCAAATGAAGCTGATAAAGCCTCACAGAGAAGCTTTTCCACCACACAGGTCTTAGTTTAGACATCTACACACACACACACACACACACACACACACACACGTTTAACTTTCTTTCAACTGTTGACCAGCTAAAGGTTCTCACAGGTCATGTACTGTCCCATGATAAGCTTATGACAATGGGTCTCTCCTCCCTCTTCTCTCTAGACTTGACACGCTCTTTATTCATTTACACAACAGTTTTTTTTTCCTCAATGGGTCCTATTATTGACACTGTTATCCTTTTATTACCCTTCCTGAGGGTTCTAAGGTTCTCAGATGCTGCCTAGAGTTGGGCATCTCATCAGTGCCATAACCTATTACTTTTTTTCTTTTCTTTTTTTTTTTGTTCCTTTAAGATATCTAGGGGAGGCCAGGCTATGGTGGTGCATGCTTTTAATCCCAGTACTTGGGAGGCAGAGTCAGGCAGGTCTCTGTGAGTTCAAGGCCAGTTTGGTCTACAAAGTATGTTTCAGGGTAGCCAGGGCTGAAGAAGTAAGAACACCTGTTGTGACCTGCTCATGCCCATTGTGGCAAGTTTTCTTGTCAAACTGTCTTTGGTTGGTCATCCCACAAATAATGACCTGGAGACATTATTAACTATGAAAGTTTGGCCTTTAGGTTAGGCTTGTCCCCAGTTAGCTCTTATTACTTAAAAAAAAAAAACCTGTTTCTATTAATCTACATTCTGCCCTGTGGCTCCGTCACCTCTGCTCTGTACCGTATGTTCTACTTCTTCAAAGTCTCATGGGTATCTCCCTCACAATCCACACACCTAGATTCATCTCCAGCCTCTCTTTCTCTCCCTGGAAATTCTGCCTATCTCTCCTGCCAGCTATTGGCCCATCAGCTCTTTATTAAACCAATCACAGCGACACATTTTCACACAGTGTAAGCAAATATTCTGCAACAGTGCATCTTAGCGACGAAGGCCCAAGAGCTATGCCTGCCACCGCTGAGCACACAGCAAGATATGTCATTGCTGATGCGTGTGCACGGCGGTGTGAACAGGCCTGAGCAAGGCCACCTGTCTAATGTTAAAATCCTGCATCCTGTGTAACTCTGTGAACCTGAGTTTGAATTCCCAAAACAAATGGGGTTTTTGTTTGTTTTGTTTTCAGTTTCTGTTTCTGAATAAGATAAAGTGGCATGAACCTGTATTCTGAATGCTGGGATGGTGGCGACTAGATCTCAGAGGCTCTCTGGCCCGCCAGCCTAGCAGAATTGGTGAGTCTATGTCTAATGAGAAATCCTGGCTCAGATGATCAAGTGGAGAGTGATAAAGACCCCTGATATTGATCTCTGGGCTCCATGTGTGCATATACATATAAGCTCTCTCTCCCTCTTACACACACACATAAAACTCTCTCACATATACAACTCTCTCTCAAATACACACCCACCATACACACTACACATACACTATACACATACACACACTATACACATACTACACTTACCACACCCATACATACACACTGCACTCATACAATCTACACACACACACCACACACACACTACACCCATACTACATACATACACTACACACACAGACACACTCTACAAATATATATACACTACACACATACACACACACTATACACACCACATACACTTTTTTCACAGTCCCTTCAGCTTTCATTCACTTCTCCTCCATTTCCTGCCATCCCTGGCACCAGCTAGATGCCCATTTGTTCGGCCTGCCATTAGCTGGTGTCCTGATGGCCTCGCTCTGACCCTGTGCCAAACTGTGCCACAGTATCTGCTGTGTATCAGCTGCAGCTCTGTTCCCGCTGTTTCTAATTTTCTTGTCCCTCTCCTTTCTGCCTTCCCACCTGCTATGTACCAACATGACATTTGTTTCTAGACCCTTCTGGTGTCGATGCAGAGATGTCATTTTAACTGATGCTAAACAAACCCATTTTCCTCCTAGCCCCTTCCTGTACAAGCTTTGTCACATCTCTCCTGAGGATTTTTGTGTTTGCTATTGAATGTTTCTGTCACTACACTGGGCTGGCTTTGCACTTGCTATGAAACAGACGACAACCTTAAACTTCTGATCTTCCTTCCTCTACCTCTGAAAGGCTGGGATCACAGGCATGCACCATCATGCCTCACCTCCTGGGTTGTGATCACAGGCATGCACCAACATGCCTAGTTTGTGTGGTGCTGGGATCATATCTAGGGCTTTGTGTATGCTAAGTGAGTACTCTATAAACTGAGTGATATTCTAAGCATGAAAGCTCCATTTAAAAGGCTATAACTAGGGCTACAGAGATGGATCAACAATTAAGAGCATTGGCTCCTCTTCCAGGCAACCATGGTTTAATTCCCAACACGTACAACTTCCTGTAACTCTGGTTCCAGGGAGTGTCACACCCACTTCCTGTCTCCCTTGGTACCAGGCATGCGCACGACGAAGACATTCATGCAGGCAAATTTTTTTTTATTTTATACATAAAATAAAAATAAACAAATCTTGCTTTAGAAAGGGTTATTACAATGCATACCTGGCCCCGTTTAGATATTTTATAAATCTTACTTCATCCTCTCATATCCTGCACAGGGCAGCTACATGCCCATGTGGAATTGGGGATATTCTTTTGCCTGTTTGAGTCTTCACCCTCTCATCTGTGACAGCCGTCTGCCTCTTGAGGTGTCAGGGGAGAGCACTGATAATTGGCCAGCACCGTGTCTCTGCCTGGCAATTTTACTAGGTGATTTAGAAGCTTATCTTCACAGACAGGCCTGTGAAATGAATTACTTGGTCTCAATTCTCAGATGAAAAACCAAATTGTCAGAAGAGCAGAGCAAGTTGGTGAAAGTCAAATGCCTCTAAGTAGCAGAGTAGAATAACTAAAGTCACATGACCACTAAATGGCAGAGCGCATTACTGGAGTTTTAGGGAACCTGGGAACCATGCCTCCAACAAACTAGGCTCTGTGTCTATCCCCAAGGGGGCAATTAAAGAGACAAGTAACTGAAAGGCAGAGAAGAAGATTCTGCATTGTGGCAACACTGGGCAGAAAGACCAATAAAGTGGCCCAGTAATTCCCACACCAAGTCCTGACATGAGCTTTATGTTTGATTGCTTTGTTCTCCTGCTCCTCCTCCTCTTTTTTTCCAAGACAAGATTTCTTTGTGTAGCCCTGGATGTCCCGGAACTTGCTCTGTAAATCAGGTTGACCTCAAACAGATGGCAGGAGTCACAAATAGCTAAGGAGTCCAGGCCAGGGTGTGGCCCCGCCCACCACCAGCCCAGCATTGTCTCAGATCCCATCAGTCTCATAAGTTGTCAGAACTGTGTGAGGTCTCTTCCTGGGAGACAACTTCCTCTTCTGGCTGGCCTCAGCCATCAGTCTTTTCCTTCTCCCAGCTTAGGATTCCTGGGAAATTCCAATTTCTTGGAGGCCCCCTAGAGATAGCCTGCTCCCCGAAGGAAAAGCACAAGTGTGTCTTCAGGGTGTTCTCTCTCCTATCTGGACAGCAACAAGCTCAGGCATGATTTCAGACAAGAGTCATAGTTTGTGTGTTTCTGATGTAAAATCTTATTCGATGGTACTGAGAAATATCCAAGTCAGAGGAACTGAAGCCCCTGCCACTTATTTCTCAAACTAGAGATCTAGTGGATGCCCACATGAGTTGATGCAGGGAATGGGGAGGCTTGTCCTCGGCTCTGGGCCTGGTGTGTGATGGTTTTGCGGAGCCTCTGGAGCCATTCAGAGCTCACGGCCGAGACATGACTATGGATTGAACTTCTGAACGTGGCTGTGGATGTCAGTCATGAGATCCAGTGATCTGTGGCCATGTGTGTTAGGGCCCCGGAGCAGATGCTGCTGTCGTGGATTTAACTGGAGAGTCACGAGACAAGGACAGGCCAGAGACACCAAGACTGGAAGGAAGGCACGAGGGTGGGAGCATGAGGTGGCTGGTCACATTACAGCCACGGCCAAGAAGCAAAGGAAGAGAAATGTTGGCTCGTAGTTGTGGGCCCCTGAAACAGTGTCACACACATTTAGGATGGGCCTTCCCACCTCAATCAACTTGGTGTAGAAAGTGCCTCACAAGCCTGCCCAGAGGTTTGTCCCATTGAAATTCTAGGTGCCCAGCAATTTGTCAGTCGAGATTAATGATGGCAGTTGCCTAGGGTAATTCACCCCAATCTTTTCAGTTCATGACAGAATGAATAAGACGCTGTTGGTGAGAGACCCTTGATGAGTGGATGAGGCCATGCAAGCAGGAAGACAACCAGGAAGACAACTAGGACCTGTGACTCACATTGCCACCGGCCACTAGAAGTCCAAGGGCCTCTGTGTACCTCATGAAATTCTTTCATCCACTGGGATGTTCTGATCTAAACCCAATGTTGGGATCCTGGTCCCAAGCCCTTCTCCCCAGAGATCCCTGTTTAGCAGACCCAGGGAGCCAGTTGTGTGATACGCTGCCTTGATTCTGAAATAGGAGGGTTAAGGGCCTTCCATTAAGAAAGCTGAAAGCAGAATACAAGTTAAGAAAAGTCATTCCAGGCTGAGGAGACAGCTAGGCTGTAAAATACTTGCCTCACAAGCATGAGGGCTTCACTTTAACCCTCTAGGGCCCAAAATTGTAAAAGAAAAAGAAAAAAAACCTGAGAATGATAGCACATCCTTGCAGTCCCAGCACTGGGGAGGAAAAGGTAGCAGAATTCTTAGGGCTCATTGACTAGCCAGCCCAGCCTGTTGGATGAGCTCCAGGCTAGTGACAGAGCCTGTCTGGATAAACAAACAAGATAAAAGTCACATAAGGAGTGACAATCAAGTCTGTCTTCTGGCTCATACATGCAGGCAAACTCATGCACACATGATCTTGCACATGCGTGATCCCACTCAAAGCTTTAAAATAGTGCTTAGCAACCAAACACTGCAGGGCCTCATGGATCCAAGTGACTTTAAGACATCATAACCTTGTTGCTAATTCCCAGTGGGATACTTTCTGTGCAAAGGAGGGATGCTTACAGTAAGAGAACACAGATGTATGTGTTGTAGGAGGCTGCTTGTTTGTTCCTGGCTACTCAGCCCTTAAATAACCACACAGAAACTGTATTAATTAAATTGCTGCTTGGCCTATTAGCTCTAGCTTCTTACTGGCTGGCTCTTACATCTTCATTTAACCCATCTCTATTAATCTGTGTATCGCCATGTGGCTGTGGCTTACCAGCAAGGTTCCTCCTCATCTGTTTCTGGCAAGGCTACGTGGTATCTCTCTGACTCTGCCCCTTTTTTCTCTCAGAATTCAGTTTAGTTTTCCCCACCTAGCTCTACTCTACCCTATCATAGGCCAAGGCAGATTCTTTATTCATTAACCAATAAAAGCAACACAGATAGAAGGACTTCCCATACTGTATGTGTGCAGTGTCAAAAAGGTGCTTGTGCCAATGGTGCTGCTTTTATGAGACATACATGTGTGTGGTGGGATCACCGAGGGGAGACACGCATGTGTGTGGTGGGATCATGAGGGGAGACACACATCTGTGTGGTGGGATCACCGAGGGGAGACACACATGTGTGTGGTGGGATCACCAAGGGGAGACACACATGTGTGTGGTGGGATCATGAGGGGAGACACGCATGTATGTGGTGGGATCACCGAGGGGAGACACACATGTGTGTGGTAGGATCACCAAGGGGAGACATGCATGTGTGTGGTGGGATCACCGAGGGGAGACACGCATGTGTGTGGTGGGATCACCAAGGGGAGACACACATGTGTGTGGTGGGATCATGAGGGGAGACACGCATGTATGTGGTGGGATCACCGAGGGGAGACACACATGTGTGTGGTAGGATCACCAAGGGGAGACATGCATGTGTGTGGTGGGATCACCAAGGGGAGACACGCATGTGTGTGGTGGGATCACCAAGGGGAGACACGCATGTGTGTGGTAGGATCAGTAAGGGGAGACACGCATGTGTGTGGTGGGATCAGTAAGGGGAGACACGCATGTGTGTGGTGGAATCAGTAAGGGGAGACACGCATGTGTGTGGTGGGATCATGAGGGGAGACACGCATGTGTATGGTGGGATCACCGAGGGGAGACACGCATGTGTGTGGTGGGATCACCGAGGGGAGACACGCATGTGTGTGGTGGGATCATGAGGGGAGACACACATGTGTGTGGTGGGATCAGTAAGGGGAGACACGCATGTGTGTGGTGGGATCACCGAGGGGAGACACGTATGTGTGTGGTGGGATCACCAAGGGGAGACACGCATGTGTGTGGTGGGATCACCGAGGGGAGACATGCATGTGTGTGGTGGGATCATGAGGGGAGACATGCATGTGTGTGGTGGGATCAGTAAGGGGAGACACACATGCGTGTGGTGGGATCATGAGGGGAGACACGCATGTGTGTGGTGGGATCACCGAGGGGAGACACACATGTGTGTGGTGGGATCATGAGGGGAGACACACATGTGTGTGGTGGGATCACCAAGGGGAGACACACATGTGTGTGGTGGGATCAGTAAGGGGAGACACGCATGTGTGTGGTGGGATCATGAGGGGAGACACGCATGTGTGTGGTGGGATCACCAAGCAGTCATTACAGGGCTGTCAAAATGGGACTTCTGCCAAGGTCAGAAGGTGTAACTTGAGGATGGATGTGGTTGATGAGTTTCTTCAGCACTGGGAGTGTTAAATCTAAATTCATCTGCCCTGTCTGTTTCCTGTCTCTTTGGAGAACAGCCTGGTCCTCAGTATGGGGCAGGAAACTGTGGTTCTGGAACACTTTGTCAGATTCTAAGTAAAGGAGACCATCTGAGACTCCTGGAGTCTCAAAATGACCCTCTTGCCATTGTGAAGATGTAGAGAAGACTGACAAATCCATTAATCCAGACAGTCTTGGGGACTCATGAACACCGGCCATGCTGAGTCCTGAGCTCTTAAAATTATTGACAGTTTTTGAAGCTCATTTTTAATCTTCAGAAAATAGTAGAGAATTGTTCTACTATTTGAATTCTGAGAAAAAGGATAAAAATAGCTATTCTTTTTTTCTTTTTATGAAAAGCTTTATTTTATTTTTAGTTCTGTGCATATGTGTGTGTGTGTATGTGGGGGTAGATGCACCTGAATGCAGGTAGCCACAGGTGGAAATGCCAGATCCCTGGAGCTGGAGCTGCAGATGATTATGAACCTATTGACATAAGCACTGGAACCTGAACTCAGGACCTCGGCAAGAACATCAAGATCTCCTAACCTTTAAGTCATCCCTCCAGCCCCTATTCTGGTTTTTCTACTTAGTCATATGACTAAACCCATTCTGAAAGACAATTATCAATTGAAAATACTTATAAAAATCATTTGTGAGCTGAGCGGTGGTAGCATATGCCTTTAATCCCAGCACTCAAGAGGCAGAGACAGGTGGATCTCTGTGAATTCGAGGTCAGCCTGGTCTATAAGAGCTAGTTCCAGGACAGGCTCCAAAGCTACAGAAAAACCCTGTCTCAAAAAAAAAAAAAAATCACTTGCGACTATAGCACAAATTCTAATTGGTATTAATAATAAAAACACAGAGTCAGATTTAGGGGTTAATTCTGTAGATCAGAGAGGCCAGCCTCTTGAGAGTTCTTTTACCTCTACCAATGCTTAGTCCGATAGGGTGATTCTGTCCTGAGACTACATCTGTGTCCACCAAACCTCAGACTGCAACTGTCCCCACCAAACTTCAGACTGCGCAGAGCTCCTGTCTCCTCTTGCCTTATATTCCTCTCTCCAGCAAGCCATGTCTCTCCTGTTTCTACCTTTCTAGTACTGGGATTAAAGGCACAGAATCCCAACTGCTGGGGTCGCCTTTGTGTGAGCTGTTTCTTTTTAAAGCAGATTCAATCTTGTGTAGCCCAGGGTGGCATTGAACAGAAAGAGATCCCTCTGCCTCTGTCTCCCAAATCCTGGGATTAAAAGTGTGTGTCACCATTCCTTGGCCCCTTGGCTTAACTCTGCACACTGATCTTCAGGCAAGCTTTATTTGTTAAAACATAATCAAAATAGCACTACAGGCGACAGGAGTCATCTACTGAATTCAGCGGCCATCTGTCTGGTCTGTTAGCGTCACCAAGGGCAGAGCAGAGCAGACAAGCTCCTGCGGAGAATTCAGATGCCACCATTTTCTGCTCAGCTCTCTGGAGATGGAGCTAATCACTTCCAGGGGACTTAAGAAGAGAGAAACACATTCTGAGACCCCAGTGATGTCATCACCAGTCTGCAGAGTTTGTGAAACTTTTCAGGGCAAAGTCGTGTATTGCTTGGGAGAGTCTTCAGGATAAATACAAGGAACAGTGGAAATACTGCAGTAAGAACAGAATGGCTGAAGGGGTACATGGTGAATCACAGTCTCTGTTTCTTTTCAGATTTTAATTCCATTTGCTGAAGAGAACTACCACAGAGGGATCGTGAAAATAGAATCTGTTGTAGGGGACTTTAGCCGTTGTTTTTGGTGATGTGAGACTGTGTTTCTGGTTTTACTTTGAAAGAGTTCCACGCTTATTTTATAAACATCTATGAAATCAAACACTTCCCGACCAAGTGGAATGGTGTCTGGGAAGTGTTTCAGAACAATCCAGGCATCGGAGAAAAAAATAAATGAGGTATAGTTTAACAATATGGTGGTCAACAAACAACTGCCACATGGGTCACATGGTAATTGCTATAATGTAGGTTTGATGGATTCTTTCTTGAGTGGGCAGAACAAACCTAGATTCATAAGAAAAGTGAGAAAGAACTCTGGAAAGGGGGTTTCAGGGAGGAATAGAAGCTCATTGGCCTGCCCCAGTGGGGTTTATGGATCCTATGGAGGGAACAAAGTGGAGATTGGGTATTATTTATTGGGATTGGTTGTTTTTAACTACATCATGGGTCAAGTCGGTGAAGAGTCCACATACCCTATACATGTTCCCTTGAACCAACATGGCCCAGTGGTAGGAAGGGTTACTTTATTCATTCAGGGAAGGGGTCATGTGTGCTAAGAAAACAGTTCATGACTCATTATGGGTTGTCCTTATTGCCTAGGGAAACTAACTCCTGCTTTAGTTATACTGTTCTCTTTACTTTTAAATGTACTTAATGTTAAAAATAAAAAACAAAGTCTTGAAACCAATGACAACAGCAGCAGCAACAACAACAGCAGTAACAATAACAGCATCAACAACAGCAAAAACAACAGCAGCAATAACAATAACAACAGCAACAACAATAACAACAACAACAGCAGCAACAACAACAGCATCAACAACAATAACAACAGCAACAACAACAGCAGCAATAACAATAACAACAGCAACAACAATAACAACAACAACAGCAGCAACAACAATAACAACAGCAAAAACAACAGCAGCAATAACAATAACAACAACAGCAACAACAACAATAACAACAACAGCTGCAGCAAGAACAATAACAAAAGCAGAAACAGCAACAACAACAGCAGCAGCAACAACTACAGCAGCAAAAAA